TTACACATATTTCAACCTAAAGAGAAGTAGAGGATAGTAAAATGACCCTCCATATGCCCATTGTCTAGATGAGTAATTATGTTAGTAACTATTAACATTTTAGTATATTTATCATTTTTGCTGAAATATTTTAAAGTGATTTCAAGTTTGCATGACAGTTCAACCTTAAGTACTTCAGGAAGTTTTCTTGCTACAATATTATGATCATCCCTTGCAAAATTAACAATCATCCCATAGATTTTCTAATACCCAGCCCATATTCAAAATTCTCTAATTGTCCCCCTAAAATGCTTTTTTTAAAATTATTTTTATTGAAGTATCATTGATGCACCATATCATGTAAGTTACAGGGGTACAATATAACAATTCCCAACGTTTAAAGGTGAGACTCCATTTATAGTTATAAAATATTGGCTATATTCCCTGTGTTGGATGGGAAGAATCCACTTTTAAGCTCACAGGGTTGTTGGCAAAATGCTTTTTGGTTTGTTCCAACCAGGATCTAAATAAGGTCCACACGTTGCATTTGGTTATGTCTTCAGTCTCATTTAAATCTAGAATAGTCTTTCTTCCCCTTCCATGCTATTGAGTTGTTGAATTGCTAAAGTATTTAAAGCAATCATTTCCCACCTTATAGATTTCTCTGATTGCTTCCTCATGGTGGTATTTACCCTGTATTTCCTGTAAACTGCAAATGAGTTCTACAGGCTGGATTAGATTCAGATTTTGACAACACTCTAGCAAAAACACCTCCTGGGTGCTGATGCTTCTTCCTCATGCTCTAAGTCGGGGTGTCCTCAGTGTCTGAGCTCCAGTCTTGGTGATGGAACATTGCTGATTGGTACGTCCCTTTAAAAAAAGTTGCATTGTCTTCCTTTAGAGCCAGCAAGTAATCTGGGGGACGATATTTTGGCATGATTATGTTTTTTTTAATATTTTATTTATTTATTATTGTATTATTTAATTACTTTATTTTGGTATAGGGGGAAGTAATTGGGTTTGTTTATTTTTGGAGGAGGTACTGGGGATTGAACCCAGGACCTTGTGCATGCTAAGCATGTGCTCTACCACTTGAGCTATACCCTCCCCCTGGCATGATTATGTTTTTAATAAATAAAGCAGGTCAGTGTGGCTGAACAGGTGTGAGGACAGGAACCAGAATTCAAAGGTCCAAAGGCCTTGATAAGAAATGTGGACTGTATCCTGCAGGATGGGGAATTATGGACCACTTTTAAGCAAAGGAAATCACATGATTAGACTTGGTTAGAGGGAGGAGTGGGAAATCGTGAAAGGAATAGGGAACTAGCATTTCCTGAATGCTCAGCTTCAACTGACCCTATTCGAAGTGCTTGGCCTGCTGGATCTAAGTGAAATCTTCACTGGGTTTAAAAGGAAAAGCCCATTTTATAGATAAGGAAGATGGAGGCTCTCACTCGTTCGGTCACTCACCCAAGGTCATGGCAAGAGCTGGTGAAGTCCTAAAGGAGGCCAGTGACCATGAGCTTGGACAAGTATTTGGGAGGGAATCAGCAGCACTGGCCATCAACACGCTGTGAGAGGAGGGGAACTGAGAGCCCTGGCCGGAGTGAGACCTCCTGCAGGCTGTGGGTGGGACGCAGGAGGGGTCGGGTTAGCGGAGAAGATGACGAGCCCAGGTTCCCAACTGCCCAGATGTCTCCAAGCCACTCTCTTAAGAAATGGTGTTTATAACATGACCATGTCTGTAATTTGGCTTCCGGCGTGACTCGATAATTAGCTTAAGTTATCCCTCATTGGTGTTTCATTCAAAGCAAGGACACTATTCCATTCATTCTGACAAGGCCTGTTTTCCGAGAGTGTTACAGGGTGGGTGTGAACACGGCACAGTGCCTGCGTGTCTCTCTCTTGGCCCAAATGGGCCAGAGACTGATGTCAGGGAGTGTAGGGGCTGTCTGCTCTCTCAGGTAAAAACTGTGTCTCCGGAGCTTGGGGGTGTGGGCTCTCTCTCAGATAGGGGGCTTCCTAAGGGTGGGGTCCTGGAACCTGCATAGTTAATGCCCAGAGATTGGGTCCAGGAACCACATAGAGGGTGCCATGATGAGGAAGATGCTTATGAAGGTCAGCTGGGAGGCAGCTGCCAAGGTTGGCTACAAGGATGCTCAGGGCTGAAAAAGGGCTGTGTTCAAGGGAAACAGGGAAACTTTAATTTCAGAGGTGTTGACAAGGTAGACTTTATGGGACTTGGTAGTTGACTCAGAAGGTGGAAGAGAAACAGAGTTGAGGAGGACACTTGGGGTTTTGTCTCAGAAGAGGTGGAGGCCATTCACTAATGTAAGATCTGCAAGAGGAGGGGCAGGTCCAGGGATGGGCAGATGCTGAATTCAGTTTTGGTCTCAGTTCCTAGGAACCAAATCAAAGTGACTGTGGTCTGAGGAGACCTGGGAAAGTTGGGCTGGGACTGGAGAGCCGTCAGGACCAAGTCATAGGCACACGGATCAAGACAGAAACTACAAGACATGGATAAGCATTTCCAGAGAAAGTCACATAGATCCAGAGGAGGACCCCTCCTGCCACGGGAAGGGCAGGGGAAAGGACCCCAGCAAAAGTGCAAAGGCAGCTGAGAAATATGAGACACGCAAGGCGCGGTCATGGGGGAAGCTGCCATGGAGAGGTTGGACGATGAAGGAGGAGCTACTGGCCTTTGTGATTCTGAGATAAACCAGTCAGGGGTCTGGGAAACTGACTTCAGCTTCTTAGCAAAAACAGAGAAGTGGGAGGGATCACCTGGAGGTGGAGCCCCGGAAGCCAAAAGCACAGGTGTTTCAGCAGGAATAGGCACAGGACCCAAAACCCACTGGGCACCATGAGCAAAGCCATCAAGAGGGTCCCCCAGCAGCCTCTGCCCTGGTCCCTTGCTCCTCAGAGCAGAGAGTGAAGGCCCCGGAGTGGTGAGGCTACGTCCAGTGCCCACACCCCAGTGCCCAGGGCACTGAGACAGAGGCTGCGAATTCCTCTCTTCAGCTCTTCCAGTAAATAGTTACTGAGCACCTGGTATGTGCCAGGCACAGCTCTAGGCCCTTGGATATGGCAATAACAACAACAAAATACAGGAACAAACCCCACGAAGATGCTTGCCTTCATGGCACTGACAAGAGAGGGGAAAGACTGACCATAAACACAGACATAAATACGTGGATAATGTAGAAGGTTAAGGACAAAGAAAACATAGAAGGAAGATTGGGAGTGGTGGGGAAGGGAACAGACTGCCATTTAAATGAGGTGGTCAAGAAGGGCCTGATGGAGAAGGCAGGATATGCCGGGGTGCACAGGAAGCGATGCAGCCATAGAACACGAGAGTGAGGGGAAGAGTGGAGATGAAGCCAGAGGGGCGGGGACAGCAGACTGACCGCCCTGAGGAACTTGTCAGCTGCTGTAAGGACTCCGCTTCCCTCTGAGCGCAGTGGGAACTCCTGAAGGACCTGGAGCCCAGGAGTGACCTGATATGTTACAGTTTAAGGGGACCACTCTGGCCACTGTATGGGGAACAGATGACGAGGGTGAGGATGGAGGCAGGCAGACAGATTAGGAAGCTACCACGATAATCCAGGGGAGAGAATAATGGTGGACGTGGTGGGGAGTCATCAGATTCCACGTGTATTGTGACAGAAGAGGCATCAGGATCTGCTGACAGTGGATGTGGGAGGAACCAGAACTGATTCTAGGCTTTGGGCCTGAACAACTAGAAAACTCTAGCTGCCATCAGTTGAGATGGAGAAGGCTGCCGGTGAAGCAGTTGGCATGGGTGGGGTAGATGGAGAGTTCTAGAGTGGCTCCCCTGAGGGGGCGTTGCCCTGATACAGAAAGGGGGACACTGGACAGGCACAGCCTCCAGAATACATCCACAACAGGAGGTTACTGTTGACCTTTGGCAGAGCAATTTCAGCAGGGGCGAGGGGGAGCCAGGGGGTAAATGTAAGTTGTGTATGTGGCCTCCTGATTTACAAAGCAGAGCAGGGATGGGAGACAGAGGGAGGGAGAGATGAGGCCAAGGGGGTGGCCTTTTGGACACAGGTGGCCTGAGCCTATTTGGAGGCTGCAAGGAAAGAGGCAGGTGGGGGAGATTCTGCAGGTCAGGATAAAGTCTCCACAAGAGGGAGAGCAGAGGCTAAGGTTCCAGGTGCTGAGGGCCTGGAATAGGGTCAAAAGGAGGGAAGGATTCCAGAGATGGTTTGGTTTGACAGAAGAGGCGGGCTGCAGACAGCAGGTGAGGAAAAGGAGGAGTCAGGCGTGACTCCAGGATTTTGACCCAACTCTGGCCATCCTGAAGGCCTTTCGTGTCTATCTCTGAGTCCGGACGTCCTCATCTTCACCCCTCCAGCCCCCAGGCCTCACCCTGCCCCTGCCATGACCAAGGTCTGCCCCAGCCTGGCATCCTGAGCATGGCCTTATACCTGAACCTGAATCCACACAGCTGACTTCCTGACTTCTGCTGGGGTCACAACTGGGGGACACTGCTCACCCCACCTCACCCTTCTATCCTCCAGCCCTAAGGGCCTCCGTCTCCTGCTCTCCATCTGAGCCCCCCATCAGCCATGGTTTTGCTTCCTGTTTCAGAAAAAAATACAGTGCTGACTGAGAGAAGCCCATCACAGAAAAGAACGTAGTCTAAGGTTCCACTTTTATGAAGTGGAGGAAAACTAATCCATCGAGATCTGTGGGTGCTACAAATGGGATCAGTTTTGCCTGGGGCTGGGGGAATGACCACAGTGGGATATGAAGGAACTTCCTGGGGAGATGGAAATGTTCTATATCTCTATTGGGGTGGTGGTTACACAGTTGCATACATTAGTCAAAAGTCATCACTTACACACTTAAAGTGTATGCATTTTACTCTACATACATTATACCATAAAAAGTTGATTAAAAAATTGAAAACTAAAAAAATTTATTTTATTTTTATTTTATTTATTTTGAAGGGGGGAAGTAATTAGGTTCATTTATTTATTTACTTACTTATGTAACGGAGGTACTGGGGATTAAACCCAGGACCTCATGCGTGTAAAGCATGTACTCTACCACTGAGATACACCCTCCCTCCAAAAAATTTTTTAAGGAGAAAATACATAGTATCAAGCAGAAAAAGCCTAGACACACTCATCTGTCCCCATCTCTCACTTCCTCCCTTTTCTAGGGGAAGCAATACACCCGCTCTGGTCCACTCAAGCCCCTGTTCTGGAGACTGTCCAGTAAATGCCAGGCCACGCCTCCCTGACATTGCATCCTCCATGCTGTCCTGTCTCCTAGCTCACAGCCAAGTGCCTAGGAAGGATGTCTACACTCACACACTCTCTCTCTCATTCCTCACCCAATCTGCTAATACCTCATCCATCACACTGGACCAGTCGCCCCTCTCTGAGACACCTGCCCTGTGGGCCACTCCTGCCCTCCAGGGCACCACTTTTTTCCTGGAGTTCCTCCTCTGTCTCTGGACATTCCTTCTCATGTTCCTTGTCTGGATCCCCCCCTCTCTACCCTTTCTTAAATGCCGGTGTTCCCTGAGCCTCTGGCCTTGGCTTTCTTTGCTCTCTGCACGTGCATTGCTTCCCAGCGTGATCTCACCCATGCCAGGGCTTCAGTTACCATCTATTGCTGACAACACTCAAAGATACCTCTGAATATTTTTTCAGACTATCAAGGATATGGCAGAAAAGGTAGACAGACTATTATGTATGCTTCAAAAGCATTTTACAATTTTTAAAATAACATACATATCCAACCCTCTTCTGGGATGATCTGCCAGACCTCAAATTCAGCAAGCCCCAAAGTGAAATCATCAACTCTGTCCCAATTCTGCTCCTCCTCCTTTCTTCAGGAATCCAGTTATTTGAGACAGAATCACCCTCCATTCCATGACCACCAATTGTAAATTACCCCCTGCCCTTGATTTCACCCCCTACATATTCCCTTTCTCCACCCTCACTGACACTGTAGTCCAGGACCTCTTCCTTACTCCCAGAGATGTTCAAACACTCATCCGTTCACCCACTCACTCTCAACAAGTATTAACTGAGCACTTACTATGTGCCAAACACTGATCCAGGTGCTTGAGATACATCAGGGAACACAACACATAAAAATCACCGCCCTGTAAAAGACCTAAATGGACATTTCTCCAAAGAAGACATCCAGATGGCCAACAGGCACATGAAAAATGTTCAACATTGCTAATTATTAGAGAAATGCAAATCAAAACCACAATGAGGTATCATCTCACACTGGTCAGAATGGCCATCATCAAAAAGTCTACAAATAATAAATACTGGAGAGGGTGTGGAGAAAAGGAAACCCTCCTATATTATTAGTGGGAATGTAAATTGGTACAGCCACTATGGAAAACAGTATGGAAGTTCCTTAAAAAACTAAAAATAGAACTACCATATGATCCAGCAATCCCCCTCCTGGGCATATATCCAGAAAAAATGAAAACTCTAATTCAAAAAGACAGATGCACCCCAATGTTCATAGCAGTACTATTTACAATAGCCAAGACATGGAAAGAACCCAAGTGACCAACAACAGATGATGGTTTAAGGAGATTATATATATATAATATATAAAATGGAATATATATATAATGGAATATTACTCAGCCATAAATAGGAATAAAATATTGCCATTTGCAGAAACATGGATGGACCTAGAGAATATCACACTTAGGGAAGTAAGTCAGACAAATATTATATGATATCACTTATATGTGAAATCTAACAAATAATACAAATGAATCTATATACAAAACAAACAGACTCAGACAGAAAACAAACTTATGGTTACTAAAGGGGAAACGAGGGGAGGGATAAATTAGTAGTATGGGATTAACAGATGCAAACTACTATACATTAAATAAGCAACAAGGATTTACTGTATAACACAGGGAACTAACTATATTCAATATCTTATAATAATCTATAATGGAAAATAATCTGAAAAAATATATATCACTTCAGTGTATACTTGAAACTAACACAATATTAGAAATCAACTATACTTCAATTTAAAAAAAATCACTGCCCTATGGAACTTACATTCTAGTACCTGCAAAAATTTCAGAAGTCGCTCCATTTTCTGCCTTTATCCATCTGATCAACTCTGCTGTGGTCACAGTGAACTTTGCAATATGTGCATCTGATCAGCATCTTCCGTGGGACCTCATGCTCCTGGGGTCAAGTCTGAGCTGCATGGGAGTTGCCCTGATCCCTTCCCTTCTGCCCCTTTCTTCCCACTCCTCCTTCACTGAACACTTGTCCCCACTGAACACAGTGGGGCTCTCACATTAGCCTGTACACTCACTTGTCTGCAACACTCTCCCAATAAACTATACAACAAACTCCTGGTCACCTTCAAGTCATAGCTCAGATCTTGCCTCCTCCAAGAAGCCTTGCCTGACTTCCCCAGGCAGACACTGGAACTCCTTCTCCAGGGCTCCCTCTGTATGTGGTCTGCCCCCCATTATAACACACATCACATTGCATGGCGCAGTTTGCCTGCCCACCAGCCAGCCTTTCCTTTCCACTCCGAGCAACCTGCTTTAATCCTTTCTACATCACCAGTGCCTGGCCCATTATCTGGCATGTATCAGGGGGTCAACAAATGGTAGTGGATTAAATAAATGACAGTGAATTAGTAGGAGTGTCACAGATAGGGAGAGGCTTGAGAGGAAGGAGACAGTGAGTTCTGAACTGGCCCCAGATCCACCCTTTTCTTGATAATTTGGACTGACCTCGTGGTTAAAAGCAGGGTTCATATTCTGCTTCTGTACCTCAGGACTGTGTGCTCTTTGTGCTCTGAGCTTGTTTCCTTCTCTGTAAAATGAGAATCTATCTGTCATTGCAAGGAGCATGTTAGATGCCCTGCATGGTGCCTGGCACCTCAGCTCTTGTTAATAGTGAGCTGCTGCTGCTATCACTGCTATTGTTGTCACCATCGCCACCACCACCATTGGTGTCCATCCTTGCCTCCTGACCTGCCCATCCCCCAGCACCATTCTCCACTATTTCCTCCCTTTTCACCCCTCAAACCATGCTTGACCCACTGTGGTCAGCCTCCACCCCCACTAGTGCCTGGAACTTTCCAGGCGGAAGTCATCAGGGAGGGACCTTCTCCTCACACAACCCTTTCCTCCCTTGACCTCTCAATGGCATGTGACCCTGGCATCACTTCCTCCTTATTAAATGTTCTTCTCTGACGTCCATGATGAGAACTCCCTGCTTCTCAGGACAGCCTTCTGGCCCTCTCTCTCTCTGGGTCTCCCCAGCACAGACTGCTCATCCAGACCCAAACAATCAACTGCCTACCGAGCATCACTACCCCATGTGTCACAGACACCCGATGTCAGCATGTCCAAAGCGGTTCCTTGCCAGCTCCACCACCCCACCCCCATACCTGAGTTCTACTGGGGAGTAGAGAGATGAGCCTGAACTAGTAAGTTCTCAGGCTGCACCTCTGGGAGTCATCCTCTCGGTCTTGCCTTGTCCCAGTCTTAACATCCCAGATTCTTTACATCCTTATACACTGCCTTTCTCTCATCTCCTCTGCTTCTGCCAGAGTCAAACCTTCATCTCTCAACTGGACCCTTGCCACTTGCTATTCAAGTGTGCTCTTTGGATCAGGAACAGCATCACCTGAGAGCTTGCTAAAAATGCTGGATCTCAGACCCCTACCCCAGACCCACTGAATCATACTCTGCATTTTAACAAGACCCCCAGGGGATTCACACGCACTTTAAAGGTTGAGAAGTGCTGTCCTAACGAATCTCCCAACCTCTAGCCTCCCCCCAACCCTAACCAATCCCAGACTTAACAACCAGTGTGCAATAAGGCTATGCACCCCTTACTTAAAAGCCCTAGTGGCTCCCCACCACCCTCAGGATTAAATCTAAACTCCTTAGCAAAATATCCAAGGTCCCCTTAATCTGGTTTTTGGCCATCCCCCTAACTCTCCCTCCTGTTCTCCTACTACACATACCATCATGTGGTTCCCACAACGTACAACTTCAATACACTTTGCTGGTTCCTACCTCTGTGCCTTTGAACATGCTGTCCCTCCCTGCCTGGAATGCTCTTCTGCTCCTTATCTGCCTGCAAACACTCCCTCACACACTTGGTTCCAGCTCAGGCTTTCCCTGACCCCATAAACACCGTTACTTCCTTCCTGCCAATGTCAGCACTGTTTTTAGCATTGTCACAACCCTTATCGTCTTGAATTGAAGTTATTTTTCTACATATCTGTCATTCTGTCATTCCTGCTATCCTAGCTACTATCTGTGTATATCCTAGGGCCTGCCCATGATGATTTAATGAAGTGTTCGCTGAAAGATGGAATAATACATCTTTCTCAACTTCTGTCCTGATGGCAACTATAACAGGAGGAATGGAGATTAGACTGCAGGAGGAACTGGTGGAAAAGAGGAACATAGCACATGCTATTTTTCTGTCATCTCTCAGCCTGGAAACTTCCCCAAGAGCAAAGTCATCAACCACAGACTGTTAACTCCAAGGGGATTTTCAATATCCAGTCACCCAACCAAATGCCAGAGAGGGCAACTGCTTTGCCTAAGGTCACTCAGCTGGTTAGGGGCAGGACTGGGAGTAAATTTACAATAGCTCTGGGAAAACCTCACGCCATGAACCTCTTCCCTTCCTACTCATCTTAACTCCGTAAAGGAAGTCCCTTAAGTCCTAACAAGGTCAAAAAGACTCTGGGGACTCAGTCACAGCTCTTGAAACACCCATGGGGACCTTGGCTGGCTGGAGTTGCCAAAGCCCTGCAGATCGAAGGAGGGGATCCGATTATCCCCATTTTCCAGATTGACAAAAGGAGGCAGTAAGACTGTGTTACACTGCTAGCTAATAGCAGAGCCAGGACTTGACACTAAGTACTGTGCTCTTCCCGTAGAAAGATCTGAAAAGCCAAAAATCCCACCCGAGCAGAGTCACTACTTACAATAATCATGACGACTAAGCCTCCTAATGCTTGGGGAATCCCCTCGCTCCCACCAGTTCCTCTTTAAATTGAGCCTCATCCCTCTTGCACA